TCGAAGATCATTTACTGAAAAGAAAAAGAATGGCAAAAAGGAGGCAATGGAAGCCGAATAACTATCTGGTAGTTAGCCATGAATGTTATTTAACTGTTGCATAAATAACCACTAAAGTTTGCATGTGTAAAACGTCATCTTCCTCGTGACTGGAGTCTGAGTATTGGATAATAACCTAGAAATAGTCCTAGAAAACAAAATTTAAGTAAACTTCCTTTTTTGATCACTTTATGAAACCGGTTGCACTATGAGGAAAAACTTACTAATTTTCCAAAATGGCTTCGAACGGAGAACTGAAAACAGGAGACCTGAACTTCATCTTCAAGGCTCTGGCACAGAGAGGAAAGGAGGGTAAACTACATAAGGAATATAACGAGAATTATACAAGAGTTTTTCTACAACTGCTGTCGTTTCAATTGAACAAAACTGGAAATCGCGTCATTCTACAGGCTTACGGAAGCGCGGCCGAAGATTTAAAGTGCCATGAGCGCCATGATCTTGGAGATATGGACATTATGATCTTCCCGAATTCAGATAACTTGACGATTCATGAGGAACTGCTTGAATATTCCCTAGAGAATCCACTGCACGTGAGAATCAAAGGCTGTGATCATCCCGTGTTACAGTGCTGCCTCGTAGAAGACTCTGGGTATGTTGCCACTTCGGCCTTAAAGAACTTTCATCCTGCTATTTTTGGTTCTGAAGCACCTTGCATAGTCGACATTACAAACCGTGTATTTGAGACATTTTTGCGAGAAGAGTTTTCACCGATTGTTACGGGCGGACTAAGCAACCACTACGGGAGTCCTGCTATAACCCTTAATTTGTCTCGAGCTTTAGCCATTACCGGCGAGCAGCGAAAAATCATGCAAAACCAAGCCTTAAATTTCCCTTTTAGTCTAGGTGCAGCTGATGTAGAGTGGATGACTTCGATGATGTGCAGGTTTAAAGGAATTGACTATACTAGACAGCACGCCGAGCTCGTGAAATACATGATGTGCGAAAGGGATCCAATATCACATTTCCAGAAGCTTTCCGTTACTCCTCATGAGAATCTTGATAGCGATGAAAAAACCGGAAGAAGGCGTAGAAGCATCGGAAGTCAATTACGAAATGAAACTGAACATTGTGTCACAATAGAAACAAATGACGAACACCGAGAAAGAGATTTGCGAAACAGTTCGTTAGCGTCCGTACCCTCCAATGACGGGCCATATGTGATAGCCACAAAACACTGTGCAAGTTGTGATGGATATCAGAGCCCTCTTGAACTACAATCCACGTCTAGTCGGTTCACAGCGGTCAGCCCGTCGCTGGAATTTTCTTTACCGTCATTACCTAAACCCAGGGCTAGCGTTGTGACAGAAAGCGAAGGCACGGAAAAACACAGTGAAGAAGAAGTAGAAAAGAATGGTAAACAGAGTGATTTGGATGAAAATCAGTCAAAGGTAGCCCGACTGTCCTTGACACAAGAAAAGGAAGTCAATTCCAAAGCTCTACCTGGCAGTTCAGACTGTGCTAAGGAGGAAGATGCACAGAGAGAGCGTGAAAGGCGAACACGTCGTAAACGATGGGTTGATTACCTCTTGGGAAGGGAAGTGGAAACCAAAAGAACTGCAATACTGGATAATGAAAGTTGTCGCCAGTCCTCGCCTAAAGAACAAAATGGAAGCGAGGGTTTGGAAGGTAGCAACCTCGGTAAAGGGATAAAGAACGGAGACTCCATTCACGACAAAAATGCGCCAAACGGAGAAGAACATCAAATGACAAAGAAAAGAGAGGAGAACTCTACAGATCTAGCACACAACCGTGATAGTCAAGAAGACAACGAGAGCCGAGAACGTGAACGACGAATACAACATAACCTCCTTAAACACATGTTTGGAACTGCGAAAGGAGGTCAAACACAGAAAGCTAAAGTTAAGGATACTGAGCGAGTTGAAAGCGGAATTGATTTCATCCCTGCCTTAAGATCCTGTGAATGGCCGAAGGTTGCAAGAGAGTGGATCAAACGAGAACGTCGATGGCCTTCCCCTGACATTGTCAAGAAGGTTATTCAGGAAGGCTACCACTTGGTAGTGAAGTCCCCAAAGAAAAATGGCAGTCCAGATTGCGACTTCAGAATATCCTTTTCTCATGCGGAATACCTGCTAAGCCAAGAGCTGAACGACATCCAGCGTGAGTGTTACCGTTGTTTGAAAAAATATCATCGTGCTTATCTGTGCACACAGCCGAAGAGTTTGGTGTCATTTCATCTAAAGAACATTTTTCTGCAAACGATAGAGGAAACCGGTGCCGAGATGTGGACCGAACGCAACAGGGCCGAATGCATGATTAAACTCCTCGGGAACCTTTCGGAAGCTCTTAAAAGGAAAGACCTACGACATTTCTTTGTGAAGTCCTACAATTTGCTTGGCGTAGATTACGTCGAAAACCCCGAGGTTCTCGAATCACTGGCTGGAAAAGTTGTGGAGATCATGGAAGATCCAAAGCGATTTACAACGCAGTTGATTCAGAGCCGAGAAGAAACAAAACAACATGAAAGGCCGGAAGTACATATTTCACTAGAAAACTTTCCGAGAGGCGAGCCAACTGCATTCGCAAAAACCGTCAAATGCGATTATCAGATGCAACCTAAAGAACTCTCATCCAAAAGCATCCATGATACCAAGCACAACAAGAAAGAAGAGGTAACAGTTTCTTTGCCACCAAAGACAGTGATCCAAAGAAGAGGCTCAGTCCTTGAGTACCAATACCATGACCTAAAAGATCTTTACCTTGATGTCATTAAGGAATTGCTCCATACGGCTTTTGACGACGCTGATTGCAGACTTGAAGCTATGGACCCTCTCGAGAGGTCTTTAGTGCACAATCTTCGAGAGCTCGTGAGGAGTGAAGGCTTCTCATTGGAGGAGCTCCCTGGTGTGTTAGAGTCTTCCTGGCAAACAATGGGCTACCTCAGGGTAAGGCTCAGCAGTGAACCAGACATGAGACGACGTATCCTTGTGGCAATTCAGGGCCAAATTGAGATGTTGAAGTACATATTAGAGCAAGACGACATCGCTGTGAGGAACGAGGAAGCTGTTGAAGCTGTGCGCAACAGAATACTTGATCCTCCTGCTGAAAATGCCTTTGACCTGAGCCACATAATACCATCTGATATCGCGATACAGTTTGCACAAAGCGCTTTGTTCGAGTTTTTTGTGCCGAGGCCAGTGGAGCCAAATCTGGATGACGACATTCCATTAGATTGACTTAACTTAAAAGCTTTTATCAGTTCAGATGAAAACTACACGTAGTTGACATTTTTGTTGTTACTATTTTCCTTTGTGACGATGTAGAATACTTTTTCATGTATCTGCCAGTGTGTTCTCACGACTATAAAAAATTAAAGTAGCTCTGTTAATTGTTTTATAAAGTCATAATGTACCAACACGAAGCTAAAACTATAAAAACGTTCCCTCGAGCGTTAATAAGGAAGGGATAAATACAAACACAGTTATATCAAAACTTATTGGGCATCAGTAATGTTAACGATCTTATAACAGTTTGTATTAGCATACTAACTGCTTCTGTCAAGGAATTAAATCTATATTGTCGAGAGATTAATCTCTTGATATTGAAACATGACATGTAGGATAAGTATATGAAACAGGTCAATTACGATATATTAAAATTCTAACTTGGCTCCGAGGCTTAAGGGAATCAAACAAAATAAATTTAAAATATTTTGCTTGATTCCCCTAGGCGTCAGAGCCAAGTTAGAATTTTAATATATCGAAATTACCCTACGGTGCCGTAAGAGTATTTTTGTAAATATTGATAAGCGTGTAATTGTTTCATGTCTATGTGCGGTGGGAGGCAGCGTGGCCGAGTGGCGTATGGCAGGAGGCAGCTTCGCCGAGTGGTCAGCGCGTCGGACTCGCAACTCAGCGGTCCCGGGTTCGAGTCCCGCTCTGACCACTACTTAGATTAGTCCCACGGTAGCCCCGAGTTCAAATCGTCGGCAACGCTTGTAAAGAGCCAACTGGTTTGCCTCCGGCCAGTTTGGATTCTTAACAATGTTATGTTCAATTTGAATCACTAGCCTTTGTGCTACAAACACTGCCGAGGGTAAATAAATAATTATAATAAAGTAATTATCATAAACAATAATGTACATCGGTAACTATCAGACTGTTGGCCTTTTTTATGAAGTTTAAAGAGTCGAGAGGTCAAATCATCAAAGTTAATTTTTTTCAATATTTGAGTCTGGTCGATAGGGCTCGGTTCGGACTTTTTTTTTTTAAGAATCACACCGGATTCGCGTCATGCGAAGTTAAGTTCAGCTAATAACGTCCTCTTCCAAACAGAGAAAGTAAATTTAAGTGCAAAACGGAATAAATCACATTAAAAAATGCTACTTTTTCAACTTGTCGCATTATTGTTGCATTGCAAGTCGAAAATCGTTATTGCGCTTATTGTTAGCTGTGTTGCAAGTTGCGGCAACATGTCGTGCGATGCAGAACTGAAGAGTTTAACTCTGCGACACCTGTTGCCGTAACTCGCAATACAGTTGAAAATACACGCAATGACGCTTTTCAACTTGCAGTGCAACAATAATGCTCAACAAATTGAAAGAAAATGATGCCCTATCACTTGGCCCTTAAGAACGGGTGACATTCCATGATCCTTCAGTTGGTAGTTATTATTTTGCATTGAAAACTTACCTGTCCCCCCCGCCCCTCCAGAGCCTCGCTTGGGCGAAATTTTCTCAAATCTCTAGCACTGTCTTGTTTTCCTCATGTGGGTATTCTTTTCACCTTTGCGGCTGTTTTGAGAATAGACCATTTTCGTATTATCGTTTCGGACTGGAACTAGCCTGCAACTGTGGCAAATGAGGGGAGTTTTTTCAAATGGAAATGATTTTGATCGCCTTTTAATAATATTCCCCCGCATGAGCCTCCATTTCAAGCTAGTTCCAGTCCAATACCGAGAGTACGAATATGGTGTATTTGTTCGTAATGTTTTCAATTTGCATTTTCAAAGGGCCGGGTTAATGGTGAAATTTGTTAGTCTGATGTCAACATACATAAGAGCTATTGTTATGGGTGGCAAAAGATCTCTATGAAAATAAAGAAAGAGCAAGATTCTTCGGATGCACGTTGATTTTACACCCTTCAGACATCGCCTTCAACCTGGCTAAACTAAAAGTCAACTATGACGGAGAAAAGAGGTCATTGCCATGTTGAGGGGACTTTGCGTAAGATTCATTATGACCCTATAAGGCGTGGTAATTGAATTCACTTTAAACCCTGTTATATTTACCTTTGATAGACACTGAGCGTTACTTTAAAAATGCATGAATCTTATTGGTTCTCTTATTGTTGTTTATGTCACTAATAGCACTCAATCGCTCGTGTTACTGTTGAAAGGAAAGATTATTCTTGACCACTATGGCTGAAAAATAAAAACCCTGAAATTGTAGGTTTAAGACTGTAATCCATTAACCTCTCCCTCAATTTTTGTTAGCGACAATCCACTCGGCTGCACCTCAGTGACTTTTAGCTCATAGAAAACTCAGACTGGGTTGTCTGATTAACAATTGCGATTTGCTTGGTCCCTCCTTGGGTTATGCTAAAACTGTTAGAAGGCTCGCTTTCGGTTTTTTCAAAGTCTGCAGTATAGACTTTGATTGTGAACAGGGGAGCAATTCGCCCCTCGTCATCTACTGCCGAGCCGATAGAAAACTGTTACCGCCAACTATTAGCCGAGAGTGAAATATTCTCTCACACAAACTCGATCTCGCCCTCCGTAGTCTAAGTGCCAAACTATTGTTTAACGTAGTACTTTTGGCAGAGTCATTATACTTGAGATGACTGCCAAATCAAGGGTTCATACATGATGCCTACAAATGTAAGTGGAAATTGAAAGTTGAACTTCAAAAAGATATCAAAACATGAATTTGTCGCCTGCATGGTTTTCTTAAGATTTCACAGATTTTAGTTAAATCTCCAGCAATGAGTCATCAAGACTACCTCTAGTTCTCACGCTGAAATTGTAATTTTGAAGGTGAAAAAATTGCAACTCGTTTCCCGACAGGAATTTTTATTGATTGCCGATATAAATCAATAGCAATCGGCGATTGCTATCGATTGATATCCATTAAATCAGTTGTTTTCCGATACCGATATTTATCGATTGACTACGCCTGGGGTAGAGCCCGGTCGTTGAAGTCTGAAACTGTTCTTTATACATCATGGAAATAATCTCCGTACAACTTTCTTTCAAATGACATTTTCGCTGTTAAAATCCTAACACAGTACCAGAGTAACAGAAGTTTAAAGTCGGCCAAAATCCCATACAGGCACTGTAATTTTGACCGTGTTTGCCCTCCAACCAAGATGGCGT